TTGTTTATACAACTTAAATATATATAATTCAAATTTTTCCCACATAGCTTCCATAAAATTTTTTAAACATGATTTGATTTAAATCAGAGTTGTCACAAAAATTTAATTTTGTTATTTCCTCACATTTCCCTGATTTCCAGAAAAAATTTTGACTTTTTACCTAAAGAATATTCTGCGATTCACTCTAAAAATGATAAAATAAAAAAAAAGTTCTATTACATTTATTTACGAATTTCTTAAACTGTAAAATTATTTGAAAACATCAAAATAACTTCTTTTTAAAAAAAAATTTAATCATTAGTATTTTTCCATAGAAATTAAGATTTTCAAAATATTCAAATATTCAAAATATTCAAATAATTCTGAGAATTTTCAAATATATTTATTTACAATTCAATTTTACGAAATTCCATCGATTATTCGGAAGTTCTTCAATTAATATATATTTGAAAATAAAAATTTCGAATAATTTCAATTAAACTTTTTGAAAAAAAAAAAATTCTACAGAATTGCTAGTTAAAAATATAAAAAATTCAAATTTTCAAAGATTTCAATTTGAAACTTTTTCAAAATACAATTATTTCTAAAAATTTACACTATATTTAATTATTATGTAAAATTTTAACTGAAATTCACTTAAATCAATTTCTATTAGAAAATTTTACGTGAATTCAATTATTTAAATAAAAAAATAAATAATCTATATTCAATAATTGAATGTTTCTTAATATTGAATTCTCATAGAGAATTTTATCAGCAAATTTTTAAATAATTGAATTATTCTTTCGATAAACTTTAATAAAATTTTTAACAATAATTATTTTATTTTTCGAGGAATTCGATTAAAATTATATGAAAAATAATTGAAATTCTGCGACGAGTTTAATTATATTTATGAATATAATTGAATTTCTAAAATCAATTCAATTATTTATGGAAATAATTGAATCCCTGTAAAAAAAGTCTATTATTTATGAACATGAATTATTGCGAAGAAATTTATATAAAAATTTGTAAATAATTGAATTCTTGTGAAATTATTTTATTATTTATGAAAATAATTAAACGTTTGCGTAGAATGTAAATAAAATTTTTTTGTAATAATTAAATTCGTTTGGAAATTTTTATTAAAATAGTAGATATTAAATATCATTGAATTTAGGAAAATTTTTGCAAATAATTGAAATTTTGCCGAGAATTTTATTAAAATTTTTGTAAATAATTGAATTTCTGTGATAAATTCTAATATTTTTGTAACTAATTGAAATCCTGCGGTGAATTTTATTATTTATGAAAATAATTGAATTATTGCCAAAAATTTTATTAAAATGTTTATAAAAGGAATTGAATTTCTGGGAAAAATTTTGTTATTTTTGAAAATAATTGAATTCTTCATAAGAATTTTATAAGCATTGTTTTAAATAATTAATGTTTTCGAAATATAATAATTAATATAAAAATTTTATTTTAAATAAATTTGAATTCTTGTGGAAAACTTTATTTGTGAATATAATTGAGTTTTGTTATTTATGAAAAGAATTGAATTACAATTCAATATGGATTCGTGTTTCGTATTAAATTGTGATCTATTATTACATTTATTAGTAATCGTTATACAGATAGGAATAAGTAAATTATTTAGATTCAAATTTTGATAAGTTTTGATATATTAATTCTGATTATTACGTCACGTAAAATAGTAAATTAACCTTCACGTTACCGAAGGTCACCCAGAGTGACCCAGCATATTATAAATCAATCTAATCAAGATTTTAATCCCTTAATAAAATTGAAGATAAATTTAGAAACTGTAAAGATCGCATCGATAACTATATTTTTCCGAACTTTCGGAAATGAAAATGTCACTAAAGTCACAGCATCTATTTCCCTATAGGGGTTTAAAATTTCTAAATATTTAAATTTAAATTTAAAAATTTTAAACCTATAGTCTTAAATTTAAATTAAATTTAAATGCATAAAATTGCGTGCAAATGCTACTTTTTTAATGTTATAAAGAATAGTTTATTTTCTAAATTGTATTAATTAACAATTTTCCTCTCTCTATAATGAGAAAACAATCTATTCAACTTTAAAGGAATTCTTTCATCTTAAGCAGATTTTCCTTTCAGTATTTATTTAAAAAAATCTCTCTTAATGTTCTTCAATATTTTATAAAAAGAATTTAGTTTACTCTTAAAAGGAAACGTTTATTATTATTATTTTTAAATTTAAAAGATTTCTTTTACACTAAAACTAATTCTTTTAACTATTAATTAATAAAAAAAAATCCAATTTGAAGAAAATATAAATTTTTGTGAATTTGAGCATTAAGAACTTTAGGATTATATTAAAGGTGGAAGAAGTTAACAATTCTTCCGAATCAATCTCTCACAAATAAATCAGGACAGATGTGCTGTCGATATACATGAAATTAAAGAGCTTATTCAAGAGAGATTTATTTGTGAAATTACCGAATAATAAATTCATTTCCTTTAATTTAGGATCATATATTGTTTATTAAATTGTCAGTTTCTTTAAAATTTATTGGCACAACACCAATAATTATTAATTTTACTTTAGATGATTTTGGAATGTCATAAATTTTATTTAATTACGAATTGAGGTCTAAATATTTACTAAATTTTTCAGAAGAAAACTGATTTTAAGTCCTAAAATTGTCGTATTTTTATTTTAAGTCCAAAAATGAGTTGAATTTAAGAATAAACACGTTTGAGCTGTAAGTACTTTATAAGACTTTGTTTTTACATTTTTTTTTAAAGGAAAAATCCGTTGGGAAAATAACTCATGATAATTATTCTCGAACTCAAGAAGACTAGGTGACAAATTAAGTATGATAAAATTTAGAATTAAAAACAAAAAAATTTCAAGACACGAATTAATATATAATATACAAGTGGGCTTCATTGTTACTTGTCATTCGTGGTAAAATGACCGACACTCAATCTCTAATTGATGCCCTCCCACCCTATCACATATCATTTCCTACTCCCAACTTGTTCTGGCATGGAAAATTTTACATAAGTAATAAACAGTATAATAAAAATTAATAAACAGTAATGAATAGTAATTAAATAAACTCACATTGTTAATATAAATAAAAATTCAAATTACCCGTTTGTTATTTAATATTAAACTTCAAGTTGTTTTTCCAGGGCAGAAATTAACATAAACTCAGATATAAAAGATGTTCCTTAAAATCTTTCCTATCACAATCAAATTATGATTTTATTGATATTTTTTTAAAAAAGTGATTTTCTAAAAATTTCACTTTCATTAAAATTTTTGATTTTCAAATGTTTTCCTTCCCATACAGATCATGTTATAGTTATTATTTCAAAATTAGGTAAATATTCAACACTCGGAGTTATTTAAGTAAAAACAATCGTTTTCGGAAAAAATTGTATTTAACGTGAAGCCTGAAGCTAATTAAGTAATTAATCGATAAAAACAGTGGATAAAATGTAAAAAAAAAATTGTACATACGGTGAAAAGAAAAAATTGTTTAATTTATGAAATAGATTAATTGTCCTGAATGTCTCTGTCGATAAAAAGTGATCTGAAAATTGATGACGAACTATACGTGAACGGCATCTTATTGTAATTACTAGGCGGTAATAAGTAGGGCGTTGCAAAATGAAATGAAGTTTTTAAAAATGGAGAACCGGTTGCATTCTCCCAACACTCATCAGCTGCGAATTCAACTGTGTAAGGAACAACAATTTCGCTTATCCATCGAATGAGCTTTAAGCATCAATCAAATGTCTTGCCAAAGAACATTAAGAATATTATACTCCACTCTTTATAACTCTCTTTCTAAAATAGCTTACTTATTGCATACAAACTATCATTGCGCCATATTTAATATTTTCTTCAATCTAAGAAAATAATGCCAACTACATTTATACAATCTAACTCGAAACGCATAACTAATCAATTAATTTCAAAATTATTGTCGTTAAGTTTTTTAATCGTTTAAGTAGTGGACGATTTTCCGGCTTTTAGTTTAATAGTTTCAACAGTAAAATTTTACACCCATTTTAGAGCTTCTATTAAAAGTAATAAAAAAAATTGTTAAACTGCTTTTTTTTCTCTTTTTTTTAAAAAAAGGATAAATTCAAAAATTGGATAAATTTCAAAAATTCAACCCCTATTTTGAGAAAACTTAGAATATTTCTACTTTAAAGGCGATAATATTGCCAAAAGTTTCTAATAAAATAAAGGAGAATTTTAATTTTTAAAGACAAAAAAAGTTTAAAAAATTTTGAATTTGCCAAAACTCAGAATTTGTATTCTGGGATAAAAATTCATCAATATTTATATTGAATATTTTTTTTAAAACTTATTTAATTGCTAGAATTTTTCGAGTGCAGCAAAAAGGTTTAAATTGAATTTTACAAATAGATTGAAACCGGTATAATAATGACCACCTTGAATAATCGAGTTTACCCTGTTGCTCGAAATAATTCGAGGGAGAGGGTGAAAAGCAACATATTAGATAAAAAACGAAGAAATTGAAAAAATAAATCAATGACAAGTTCAATTAATAATAGACAAATGAGAGAATTACACTTAAAATAGTGAATAATTCAGTAGATGTTAAACAATACACTGTATCCAAGTGAATTTGACAACTTAGCAACAACTAATAGGAAATTCTCAATACTGAAATTTACAAAAGGAAAAGTCAAAAACATTGATGATTTTGAAGGTCAATCTACTTCAATTTACACATATTTAATAATGTCAAGTGTAAAAAGAAATTTAAAGGACTTATTTTCACATGACGTTATGATTGAAAACGATAGAGAGAAAATTTTTAAAGTACTTGTCAGATAGAAACAAGACCGGTCGTTACGTTTACTCATCAGCTGAGAGGTCCAGGTGCACTTTTGAAAATATTATTCGCCTTTAATAACAACGTTAGAAACAATAATAAACAGAAATAATTCTATTTTGATAGTATATAAAAATCACGATACCTTTTAAATTGATAATAAGTGTCGAATGATCACTGATAATCGCAAAAAAAACACAAATCACAGGAGTAAAAACTTTTTAAACCCACTCACAATGGAATCTTCCAGTAGACTGACCGGCGAGTGAAGCTGTTCCCTCCTGCGTACACACTCGACAAGTTAGAAAGGATTCTCAATTTTTCTCGTCAAATCCAAAATAAATAAAAACATTTCCTCTTGATAAGAGTTAATGACAATAAAACTTAACAATTACAATCGATGGCATTTGATGGAAAAACTTATTTGCAGCGAAACTTTAATAGAAGTAACACCGCTGACAGCTTCAATGAACTGTCATTTCTCTTCTTTACATAAAGACAGGATAAAAGCAAACTATCTAGAGACATCTAGTCAAGAAATGAGATCACTACTCAACACTATATTTGAAAGGTAAAGTCGATTGTTTTAAATTTCTCTTTATCATATCAAGATATTTAAAAGTTAGAAATGATAACTTACCGACAGCAGGTTCCCTCATTAGTTCACTCTTATGAAGCAGTTTCAACGTTTTTCATCCAGAAATGGATTTTTTTCCTCATAGAAAAGTTATACACATTAGTAATATTACAACAAAATATTTTTGTTGTGAAGTATGTGATAATACAATTTCCCTAACACCCGCTCCGAAACTGCAACTTTCAAGGGTTACAAATCATGGCGAAAATGATACTTTTCACAACTGTTTGAAAAACCGTGGCGAAAGTAAATTGCTGGAGAATCTGTAGTATTTACTTATGTATTATTGTTATTTTTATTTTAAAAGGTTAAAATAATCCATGAATGTTGATATTATTTTTGACGGAATAAAATTTTACTAACTAAAGAAACTAACGAACTAAGTAACTAAATTAACTAACTTACTAAGTAACAAAATTAACTAAACTATCTAGCTTAATAAACTAACTAACTAACTAACTAAACTAATTAAACTAGAAAACTAAAGAAACTAACGAACAAAGTAACTCAATTAACTTACTAATTAACTAACTAACTAAATTAACTACACTAACGAACTAAGTAACTAAAACAACTTACAAACAAACTAAACTGAGTAAATAACTCAGTAAAAAAAAGTAACTAACTAATAAATTAACTAACAAAACTAACTAACTAAAATGACTAATAAAACTAACTAACTAATTAACAAAATAAACAATCTAAATTAACTAACTAAACAAAATAACTAAACAACTAACTTATTTGTACACATAATTTATTGTGTTATTTTCGTGTTTCGCAACATTCACATAAACGAACGTGACAAACTTGCGAATACAAAACTAAAGGTTCCTGAACTGAACTAATTTACAGAAACATTTACCTAATCGAACGTGACAAATATCGCGAACACGTAATTAAAGGTTCCTGAACTGAACTAATTTACAGAAACATTTACCTAATCGAACGTGACAAAAATCGCGAACACGAAACTAAAGATTCCTATACTGAACTAATTTACAGAAACATTTACCTAATCGAACGTGACAAATATCGCGAACACGAAACTAAAGATTCCTATACTGAACTAATTTACAGAAACATTTACCTAATCGGACGTGACAAAAATCGCGAACACGAAACTAAATTTTCCTGACCTGAACTAATTTACAGAAACATTTACCTAATCGAACGTGACAAAAATCGCGAACACGAAACTAAAGATTCCTATACTGAACTAATTTACAGAAACATTTACCTAATCGGACGTGACAAAAATCGCGAACACGAAACTAAATTTTCCTGACGTGAACTAATTTACAGAAACATTTACCTAATCGGACGTGACAAAAATCGCGAACACGAAACTAAAGGTTCCAGACGTAAACTAATTTACAGAAACATTTACCTAATCGAACGTGACAAAAATCGCGAACGCGAAACTAAAGGTTCCTGAACTGAAATAATTTACAAAAACATTTACCTAATCGAACGTGACAAAAATCGCGTACACGAAACTAAATTTTCCTGACCTGAACTAATTTACAGAAACATTTACCTAATCGAACGTGACAAATATCGCGAACACGAAACTAAAATTTCCTGACATGAACTAATTTACAGAAACATTTACCTAATCGGACGTGACAAAAATCGCGAACACGAAACTAAATTTTCCTGACGTGAACTAATTTACAGAAACATTTACCTAATCGGACGTGACAAATATCGCGAACACGAAACTAAAGATACCTATACTGAACTAATTCACAGAAACATTTACCTAATCGAACGTGACAAATATCGCGAACACGAAACTAAATTTTCCTGACCTGAACTAATTTACAGAAACATTTACCTAATCGGACGTGACAAAAATCGCGAACACGTAATTAAAGGTTCCTGAACTGAACTAATTTACAGAAACATTTACCTAATCGAACGTGACAAAAATCGCGAACACGAAACTAAAGGTTCCTGAACTGAAATAATTTACAAAAACATTTACCTAATCGACCGTGACAAATATCGCGAACACGAAACTAAAGATTCCTATACTGAACTAATTTACAGAAACATTTACCTAATCGGACGTGACAAATATCGCGAACACGAAACTAAAGATTCCTATACTGAACTAATTTACAGAAACATTTACCTAATCGGACGTGACAAATATCGCGAACACGAAACTAAAGATACCTATACTGAACTAATTCACAGAAACATTTACCTAATCGAACGTGACAAATATCGCGAACACGAAACTAAAGGTTCCTGAACTGAAATAATTTACAAAAACATTTACCTAATCGAACGTGACAAAAATCGCGAACGCGAAACTAAAGGTTCCTGAACTGAAATAATTTACAAAAACATTTACCTAATCGAACGTGACAAAAATCGCGTACACGAAACTAAATTTTCCTGACCTGAACTAATTTACAGAAACATTTACCTAATCGAACGTGACAAATATCGCGAACACGAAACTAAAATTTCCTGACATGAACTAATTTACAGAAACATTTACCTAATCGGACGTGACAAAAATCGCGAACACGAAACTAAATTTTCCTGACGTGAACTAATTTACAGAAACATTTACCTAATCGGACGTGACAAATATCGCGAACACGAAACTAAAGATACCTATACTGAACTAATTCACAGAAACATTTACCTAATCGAACGTGACAAATATCGCGAACACGAAACTAAATTTTCCTGACCTGAACTAATTTACAGAAACATTTACCTAATCGGACGTGACAAAAATCGCGAACACGTAATTAAAGGTTCCTGAACTGAACTAATTTACAGAAACATTTACCTAATCGAACGTGACAAAAATCGCGAACACGAAACTAAAGGTTCCTGAACTGAAATAATTTACAAAAACATTTACCTAATCGACCGTGACAAATATCGCGAACACGAAACTAAAGATTCCTATACTGAACTAATTTACAGAAACATTTACCTAATCGAACGTGACAAAAATCGCGAACGCGAAACTAAAGGTTCCTGAACTGAAATAATTTACAAAAACATTTACCTAATCGAACGTGACAAAAATCGCGTACACGAAACTAAATTTTCCTGACCTGAACTAATTTACAGAAACATTTACCTAATCGAACGTGACAAATATCGCGAACACGAAACTAAAATTTCCTGACATGAACTAATTTACAGAAACATTTACCTAATCGGACGTGACAAAAATCGCGAACACGAAACTAAATTTTCCTGACGTGAACTAATTTACAGAAACATTTACCTAATCGGACGTGACAAATATCGCGAACACGAAACTAAAGATTCCTATACTGAACTAATTTACAGAAACATTTACCTAATCGGACGTGACAAATATCGCGAACACGAAACTAAAGATACCTATACTGAACTAATTCACAGAAACATTTACCTAATCGGACGTGACAAATATCGCGAACACGAAACTAAAGATACCTATACTGAACTAATTCACAGAAACATTTACCTAATCGAACGTGACAAATATCGCGAACACGAAACTAAATTTTCCTGACCTGAACTAATTTACAGAAACATTTACCTAATCGGACGTGACAAAAATCGCGAACACGAAACTAAAGATTCCTATACTGAACTAATTTACAGAAACATTTACCTAATCGGACGTGACAAATATCGCGAACACGAAACTAAATTTTCCTGAACTGAACTAATTTACAGAAACATTTACCTAATCGGACGTGACAAAAATCGCGAACACGAAACTAAATTTTCCTGACCTGAACTAATTTACAGAAACATTTACCTAATCGAACATGACAAATATCGCGAACACGTAATTAAAGGTTCCTGAACTGAACTAATTTACAGAAACATTTACCTAATCGAACGTGACAAATATCGCGAACACGTAATTAAAGGTTCCTGAACTGAACTAATTTACAGAAACATTTACCTAATCGGACGTGACAAATATCGCGAACACGTAATTAAAGGTTCCTGAACTGAACTAATTTACAGAAACATTTACCTAATCGAACGTGACAAAAATCGCGAACACGAAACTAAATTTTCCTGAACTGAACTAATTTACAGAAACATTTACCTAATCGAACGTGACAAATATCGCGAACACGTAATTAAAGGTTCCTGAACTGAACTAATTTACAGAAACATTTTCCTAATCGGACGTGACAAAAATCGCGAACGCGAAACTAAAGGTTCCTGAACTGAAATAATTTACAAAAACATTTACCTTATCGAACGTGACAAAAATCGCGTACACGAAACTAAATTTTCCTGACCTGAACTAATTTACAGAAACATTTACCTAATCGAACGTGACAAATATCGCGAACACGAAACTAAAATTTCCTGACATGAACTAATTTACAGAAACATTTACCTAATCGGACGTGACAAATATCGCGAACACGAAACTAAAGATTCCTATACTGAACTAATTTACAGAAACATTTACCTAATCGGACGTGACAAATATCGCGAACACGAAACTAAAGATACCTATACTGAACTAATTCACAGAAACATTTACCTAATCGAACGTGACAAATATCGCGAACACGAAACTAAAGGTTCCTGAACTGAAATAATTTACAAAAACATTTACCTAATCGAACGTGACAAAAATCGCGAACGCGAAACTAAAGGTTCCTGAACTGAAATAATTTACAAAAACATTTACCTAATCGACCGTGACAAATATCGCGAACACGAAACTAAAGATTCCTATACTGAACTAATTTACAGAAACATTTACCTAATCGAACGTGACAAATATCGCGAAAACGAAACTAAAGATTCCTATACTGAACTAATTTACAGAAACATTTACCTAATCGGACGTGA